GTTGGGGCAGTTGGGGTTGGGTTTGAAGAGTTGGTTGGGTTGAGGAGTGGAAGGGGTGGGAGGTTTGGGTTGCGAGAAGGGGTTGAATGGGTTGAAGGTAGGGAGTTGTTTAGTGAGGTTGAGGGAAGGGTGGGGTGGGGAATGGCTATGGAGTGTGTGGGGGCCGAGGGTAAAGAAATGGCAGTAGATGGATTAGCACTGGTTGGTTTGGGCATATTTGGAGGTATATGATTGGTTTTGTTGGCCTGACTGTGGGGTTGGGGTATTTGTCTGTATACTCTTGGCTGTTCTTGAGAGGTAGAGGCATGAGTTGAGTGTTTTTTGTCTGTTTGGACATGGGGTTTTTCAGTTGCCTGAGATGTGTTTTTCAGGGGAATATTCCGGTCAGTTATGGGTGTGTGAGTGTTGTTTTTACAGCCTGGGTTGTGCCTGGAGATGCCCTTGCACTCTTGGCAGAATTTGGGGACTTCTTCATAGATGGCAGTGAGGAAAAGAGGTTGGTCACCGTTTTGAACAACAAATTTGTTGATTTGTGGCTTCGAAACATCAACTTCAACACAAATTCTTGCTAGAGAAGGCCTCCCAAAATTTTCAGTTGTTGCATCAAGTTTGATAGGAGTTCCAAAGATTTGAGCAATGCATAGTAGGGACTCTTTAGCATGAAGGTGAATGGGCAGGTCCTGTATGGCAATCCATACAGGAAGAATAGGTGATTCAAACTTGGGATCAAAATGTGGACTCCATTTGGAGATGGTCATTTTGAATGACCCCAGCATCCATTCCCTTCGTTTAAAACATCTATGATAGTCTCCTTCATTGGAAAAATTCAGTAGTACATGGGATTTATCAATCAGGGTAACAGAGAAGCTAGTGAGACCAATTCTCTCTAGTTGTTGTCTAATGAAGTCCAGACTTGGTCTTCCAAAGTAAAAGGAACCAACCAAGGCTTTAGAGAATCTTGAGGCTAGGATACTTATCTCTGAGTTAGAGAAGGTTACACAAGGTAATCCTTTGTGTTTCTCCACATTTCTGGGGGGATAGCAGCTGGCATGAGAGTGTGTGATGCTGCTATGATAGCTGCAGCATAGCTTTTTCCCAGCTTGTGGTGGATGCTGGTGGATAAAAGGCCTGTTTGGTTGCAGGTGTAGAGGAGGCATTTGGGGGGTTGTGGATGGCTGTTGTGGAGGAGCTAGGGAGAGGTTGAAGGTTGCTGCCTGGAGGGTGGCCGGAGGCCTCCCCGGAGGGGGTTTCCGGCATGAAATTGCTGCGAGCTAGAGATATATATATATATATGTGTGTGTGTGTGTATATATATATATATATATATTTCATAAAAGATTATTTTAACCAAAAGGTAACATAACTATTTTATACTTTGAAATAAGTAGTGAAATAAACAAAGTGAATAAAGTTTGACTGTGTAAATAGTGTCTAGACAATTCATTTTCGAATGGAGGGTGTACAATGTATAAATAAATATGAGCATTAACTAATTAAATTATTTTATACTAATTAGTTTTGAAAAAATATTTGATATTAATATGGTAAATATTTTTAAAAAAGTTAATTAACATATGAATTAAATGAGTAAAAATAATTAACTTACATATTAGTAAAATAAAATCAAAAATTTAAATTCAAAGTTTCAGGCAACCAATCTATTGATTACATAACTTTATAGTTAGGAATATCATAATTTCCATTTTCAAAAACATCTTCCAAATTAATACTATAACACCCAGATCCCACCCTGGCCGAAATTATTTGCTCATAAGATAGTAGACTCACCCCTCAAATTAACATTAAGTCTTTCCCATGCATTTTATCCTCACTCGTGCGTGCTCGGGAAACTTCTCGGAGGGTCACCCAACCTAAGATTGCTCCAAGTCCAGCACGCTTAGCTTTATAATTTCCAAGTGAAGAGCTCGCAGAAAGAATATGCATCTTGTTTGTATAAGTGGTACGTACTATCAATCCTTTTGAACTCTTTTCCATTCTCATCTTAACACGGGTCATTACATTCACCCCCACTTAGGAATGCAATGTCTTCACTGCATCCTTGTTTTTTAAATCCCCAGTTTATCCTCACTAGGTAAACTAAACTTGTAGGCCCGTCACGTTTGCAAGGTTGCTCTGATACCATTTGTAACACCCCGGCCCCCACGCTGGCTCGAAATCTTTGCTCGTAAGATTGTAGATTGGCCCCACAAACCAATACAAGTCCTTGTCGCACCCTTTTTTCTCACTCGTACGCGCCCAGGGAATTTCCTAGGAAGGGGTAAATGTAACGCCCTAGAAACTAGCTTAGTAGTTAGCCTTTTTTATGGGAAAATATTATTGCTCAAGTGAAATAAAGGGGTCTTACACAATATCAATAGAGAAAACATAAAAATAATTACACAACAACCCCTAACTAAAATTATTATACTATCTTGTTTATTATCCCTGCTCAAGCTGAGTTTGGCAGAATCAAGAGGAAGCTTGGATATAAGAGCCTGAAAACATTATGACGTTAAGGGCTTCGTGAGGAAATCCGAAAGTTGTTCTTCATCCATCTATAACCTGCTCACGAACAAAATGACAATCTATACTAACATGTTTCGTGCGCTTGTGAAAAACTAGATTTTTTGTAAGACAGATAGTAGACTGATTGTCACATGAAAGAAGAGGTGGAGGTGTGGCAATATGTAATTCAGTGAGAATATAAGTGAGCCACATAACCTCGGATGCAGCAGTAGATAATGCTCGATACTCAGCTTCTGTAGATGGCTTAGAGATACGTGTATGCTTTTCGGTGTTGCAAGAAATAACATTATTCCCAAGATATATAAGATATCCAGTAGTGGAGCGACTATCGATAGGGTCAATAGCCCAATCTAAACAAGAGTAGCCAAATAGGCACAATTCTTCCTTGCGAAAGATAACTCCTTTCGTCTGGGAGCATTTTATGTATTAGAGACTGGACTTCAATGTGTGAAAGTCTTAATATGTTGGGCTATGCATTTTTTGGGCAACATAGTTGATTGCAAATCGAATATCAGGGCGTGTGACAATTAGGCACTGAAGACCACCAACAAGACTTTGAAAAGGATGAGGCTTAGAAAAGGGAGTGTAAACAACATTTGTAGAGGAACTTGGACTAATCGGTGTAGGAGCAGGAGCATAGTCATCAATGCCAACATGATGAATAGGTTCACCTGCATAACTATTCTGATGAAGAAGAGAGTATCAGAGATAAGCTCAACCTCAAGCCCAAATATATATTTAAGAGGGCCAAGATCCTTCATCTGAAATTCTTGTTGCATACTTTTAATAAAAACCTAAATAAGAGCATAACATTACCGAGTAATAACAATATCATCAACATATAATAACACAAGAAGAGTTCTCTAAGAAGAACGCTTGACAAAAAGACTGGTTTCATGGGTGGTTCTAGTGAAACCCTGGACCACAAGAGAAGATGAAAGGCGTAGATACTATGCAGTGGTGTAACACCCCAACCCGCGTAACATAAACCAACAAGTTGGCCAATCGGGTTGTCACCATATTGGAATCCAAACACAATAGTTTTCAAAACAATTTAAAACATTTAATTCAAAGCATTATTTAAAACATTCATCGAAGTTAAAAAATAGTGCGAAAGCTTCAAAGTACTTCATCCGAAATACGACTTGGGTTCTTGCACTTAAAACATAACTAATTCAAATATACTCCCTCCGTCCCATTTTATAACGCCTATTTCGGTTTACGATGTTTGACTGAAATTATTTTCAAATCATTTTAAATGACAAATGGTATAGAATTAAAAAATAAAACCTACATATCAAAATACTACATCAAAAGATCTACAAAACTAGTAGTGACAACAATATTTTATTTTATCAAATTGCTAACGGAAATATATAAGAAAGTGAATGAAGTTTGACCATGTGAATAGTAAACAGGCATTATAATTTGGGACGGAGGGAGTAATATTTAAGTTATTAAATAACTTCTCAGCGAGCATCCATCAGCTGTCTACCCTCGCTGCCCTCCAGGATTGTTTCCTCATTCAGTGTTCCTGTTACCTACGTGTAGCAAATAGGAAAAGGGCTACACGCTTAGCATTGAAACTAAGTGAGAAATATCTAACGTTTCGACAACGCACATAGATGAACCCACTAGCTCATAATCTCTTACAATATCATGCACACAAGTACATCATTAATAACATCACATAACAATCATTAAATGAATTCACAAGTCACAAATCATCACGTTAATATGATTCATCTTTATTACTACCTATGGCCATAACTCAAGTAACACCCCAACCCGCGTGACCTGAATACAAGGATCAGCGGATCGGGTTGCTACTAAATTTGTATTCAGACACAATAATTTCCAAAACAATTTAAAAACATTTAATTCAAAACAATATTTAAACATCCATCAGAGTAAATCAAAACGGTGCGGAAGCCTTTAAGTACTTAATCAAAATACAACTTTGGGTTCTTGCCCTTAAAAACATTAATCAATTTAAATGCAATAATTAGACTAGGTAACTCCTCCAGCCAGCATCCATCCACCTCTCTGCCCTCGCTGCCCTCCAGGATAGTTCCTTATTCACCATTCATATTACCTACGTGTAGCAAATAGGAAAAAGGGCTACACGCTCAGCATTGAAGCTATGTGAGAACTATCTAACGTTTCGACTACACACATAAACGAACCCACTAGCTCATAATTCCATACAATATCATGCACACAAGTACAACATCATTAACATCATTAATATCATATAATTCATCAATCAAGCATAATTACCTTAATTAACAACTAATCTCATAATCCACTTCTTTATCTCTAGAGCCCTGATCCAACCACATCCATGGAAGAACCCGCTCGATACGACGTCATCCAACGTCGGCTGGGTGGGACCACCTACTCACATCCATGAGCAGATCTACGACCCCCGCGCGCACGCTCTACCCAACTGATCATGCGTGCACGCTGGCTCATCACATGACCAGTTTTTCCTAACTGTATTCTTATTCTGTTTCCTCAGTCTACCTATAGTTCAGCTAGGTAGCCTATCCGTATTCAAATTCATAATTCCATATTTCCAAATTCATACAAGAATACAATATGTTAAATAACATTCATAGTCACCAAATAGCGGCCTAGTGTCGGGTGTAACCACCTTCCACTTACCGTCATGCAAATCACACAAATTTTGAAGTAAGAAAACGTACCTGATCGTCCTCGTTCAATCAATTCTAATAATAATATATAATATAAATAAATCATAAATTAATTATAATCAAATAAACCACATAATCAATCATACGAAACTACGAACGTGAATTTCAAATCTATATACATAATCTAGCGTTAGATGTGCAAGTTCTGACCTCAATTAATTGGCAAATTAAACAAAACAAGAATCAACTGGTCGGGCTGTTTCCGGCGATCCCAATGGCAGCGGCAACACAGGACGACAGTGGCGGTGTCGAGCTCCTTCCTTCCGACTCTGGTCTGCGGCTGTTTTACGGGCGACCACAATCGACGGCAGTGCAACCACGGCTGATCTTCCCCCTATCCGAAGATCCCGGGGCGGGCGGCGGCTGACAGCGAACTTCTTCCCGGCGAGACCTCCCTGGTCTAATCGCGAATTTGAGAAATTGGACGAAACACTGATTCGGCTATGAAGGGAAGTAGGGTACATCATCTATGTATATGTATATGCGTTGTGTTGAATCCCTAATTGGATTTGGAGTTATTGTTACGTATAACACACACCATATGTAATTATTATTATTATTTTATATTATAAAATCTTTATATTTCTTCATTGAACTGTAATGTCTATTTTAGTCACCACGCTTTATACATATATCCAACTATAACGAACTATATACCGTTGGTCACCATTTTACG